TTTTTTTTTTTTTAAGGACAATTTTTTTTTTGTCTGTCGGGCCCCGGGGGTTCTTTTTAGGAGGGTTTTTTGGAGGGGGAGGATTTTTCCGAGTAGGGGGCGAAGAGAGCCTTTTAAAAAAAAAACGCTTTTGAAAAAGAACAACCTGGCACCGAGGCCTCCTCGGGGGGAGGTTTTTGGGCCCAAATCCCCTTGGGGGGGAGATTTTTGGGGGGGTTGTCCCCGCCCCCCCGCCCCCCCCCCCTCCCCCCTCCCCCGCGCGCCGCCCCCTCGACGCGGCGGTTGTGAGGCAGGCTACTACGTCAACAACGAGTACGACGCGCCCGAGCTCAACGAGAGCCCGCCCGAGCCGCCGCTGCACGACCGGCTGGTCCGAACCATCCTCGCGGAAAAACCGCGAGTCACGCGCTACCAGATCGACTGGCAGATGCCGCCGTCGCTGCCGCCCTCGCTGCCGAACGAGAACGTGCCGCCGTCGCTGCCCCAGCCGGCGGAGTGTGGCGTCTCGTCTGGCGAGATGATGCAGCAGGTCGAGAATATGCAGCCGCAGCCCGAGCCGATGACGCACTGAGGCAACAGGGACGACAGGTACGTGTAGTGGGCTCGCGGGAAGGCCGAGTCGCTGCTGCTCCCGAGAGCGAGGCGCATCTACGGGCATCAGAGATGGGACGGGGGGGGGCATACATGGGTGCTGGACACGTCGGGCCGCGACAAAAGAGTGGCGCCCCGGTCGGGACTCCCAAGTGCCGAGGCGCGAGGGGGCCGCCGCTCGATGCATCGTCATTGACATCATTGTACGTTGAGTGTAGCGCTTTTTTCTTTAGTGTTCACAAATCCCGAAATCCAACATTGCAACAAGGAATCCCTATCCGTCCTCTCTCACACTGTCGCTTACGCCTACCATAAACCCACGATAAGACTGCGCGACGCTGCGGATCAGCCCCAGTGCCCCTCCCAACCGTACAAAGGCTGCGGTGATTGATAGTATACACAAGCAACCCAAACACGTCGAAAGAATTCACAGGTCGACGCTCGACACACCCACCATATGGCTTTGGACCTTTGCGAGAGGTGGCGAGCGGAGCAAGAGCGGTGTAGGCGCGTCCACGCGGCGCAGCGGCTCTCCCGCGACCCCGGCCCCTCTCATAGCCGCAGCCGTAGCCGCAGCCCCAACTCTTGCCGCTCTTCCGTGTCGGGTTGTGACGAGGGGTGAGGGGACACGGATTGAAGATCCCTCACACCAAGATCGTGCAGGGCGGGGACACATGTCCCTAAATCCCATCTCGTCTCAGAGTTTGCCCGTTTTATTTATTTATTTTACCCACCATGGCTCGGATGTTGCTGGTGACGGAGCAGTGTCGTGACGGGGTGGTCACGGCAGGGGCCACCGCTCGCGCACACGTCGAAGGCGCGACCTGAGAGGAAGGGAACATTAAGTTCTTATGCCGTACCATCTGCCTGGGTCGCTCGGCCCCTCTCGTACGCCGCCCTCGCCCCCGCCACCTTCGCCCCCCGCCGCCATCCC